GGCATCATTCCTTTTTATGATCATTATCAGGGCGTATTACAGTCTCAGTCATCCTGAGGCATCATTCCTTTTTATGATCATTATCAACAGTATTACAGTCTCAGTCATCCTGAGGAACCATTACTTTTACAGTCAATATCAGGGCATATTCCAGTCTCAGTCATCCCGAGTCATCATTCTTTTTATGGCAATTATTAGGGCGTATTACAGTCTCAGTCATCCCGAGTCACCATTGTTTTTCATGGTAATTATTAGGGTGTATTCCAGTCTCAGTCATCCCGAGGCATCATTTCTTTTTATGATCATTATCAGGGTGTATTCCAGTCTCAGTCATCCAGAGGCATCATTTCTTTTTATGATCATTATCAGGGTGTGTTCCAGTCTGTCATCCCAAGGCATCATTCCTTTTTATGATGGGTGTATTTCAGAAGCCACTTCCTGAGCACAGACATCACAGGCATTTAGTGCCCACGAACCTCTTATTGCCCCAACATACAGCTCACATAAGCAGACACCTCTCCTGTTTTAAATCTGACAGCCCCCGGCCCATTGATAGGACCCTGCGTGGAATAGCGACCCCACGAGGCAAAGCTGGAAACTCAATATTTCAAGCTGCAGTGGGCGGGGTGTGAGTGTGTGTGTGGGGGGTTGTCCTCTCCACCCGCGACCAAGAAGGATGGAGTGGCAGACATACCCCTGCGTGTTTGGGGGGGTTGATGGATGCGAGGCTGGGGTTGATTCAGTCGACGGGGTGTCGACTATGACTGATGGCTCACAGCACGCAGGGCGTGCCACTGCGCGGGTGACCTTGGACTGCATCTCGACCTTGAGGACGGCAGACTGTCTCCTGCAGCAAGCCCTGGGCCACCTTCTGCACTCTTCTCTGTTCCTTACAAGACCTACCATTTAGCTGCCATTGGGGCACTGAGGCCAACTCCCCCCTCCCACAGCAGGCCTGGGACAAATCTCTTCCTGGGTCAGAGGTCAGGGGTGGCCCCATATCGGCAGCACTCTCCGATCTTATGTGACCGAAGTACTTCGTCTTTTACAAGCCCGTACAGACGAGCACCCCCCTGAATGGGATCACCTTTGAAACCCAGGTTTAGCCGAGGCCCCTGTTCGCGACAGGTCAGGGTGCGAGCGAGGCCCAATCGGCGGCAGCTGCTAACCGTCCGCTCGCTAACCCTGCCGGCCTGCTCCGTTTTTAATTAAGAGACAAAATTATTATGGGCTACAAATTACAGCAGTATGAGTGTCGCCGTGCAGCAATGGCAAGCAGATGGCCTCGTGCCAGGGGGCCCTCCCTTTATTAAAGGGGCCATTTGCATTTCATGAACCTTAATTATGTCTGTTTCCCCCATCCGTGGTGGGGGGGCTGTCAGTGGAGGGGCAGGCCCCCATGCAGGACAGCTGATAGATTAAGGTAGACCTTCTGCTCGGACCCTCACTCTTTGTGTGAAAATTACTACCTATTACTATGGGGGGGACAAGGCAAAAGACAGTGATCTATGCCCTAAAGCCCAGTGAAGGTACAAAAGTGTCTGGAAAATCTTGACGTAGACTTCAGACAGTATTCAAAGTTAGCAACAGCAGACACAGATACTACAATGATGGAGATGATGGCCTTGGGCGATCAGCATTTTGCGCAGGGAAGGACGAGGGATTTTGTTGGCTTATTCACCCTACAGAACATGGCTACAGTCTCCCAAATCGACGCTTCTTTGCTGATGTCTCACTGCCTGCATTATACGATGTGGTTCCTACACTTATTCACAGGATCTTATGAAGTAACTTCATCAACATCAGTTTCACTGCAGATTTATGAAGATCAGAGTTTAGCTGGTACCAGCTGAAGTTTCCACATCAGTGTAGCAGTAACACAAACCCAAAACAGGTATTGGAAAGCACCTGTCCCATCAACCTCCAGCTCCTGAGGACACTTGGTGCTGCGGGGCAGACCCGACTAGACAATACCCATCCTGATTACAGTCCTCCTTGGCGACTGGGCTGGCTCACTGGGCCAGACCGTCTGAGAAATTAGAGTACTAGCAGCCTAGCCCAGGAGAAGCCCAGCATCTTCATGCTGAGACAAGGCTTTCCCGTCACTCAAGGGTGACAGTGAGGTCTTCCCATCACTGGAGGGGGTGACAGTGAGAAGGTCTCCCCGTCACTCAGGACGGTGACATTGAGAAGGTCTCCCCATCACTCAGGACGGTGACATTGAGAAGGTCTCCCCGTCACTCAGGACGGTGACATTGAGAAGGTCTCCCCGTCACTCAGGACGGTGACATTGAGAAGGTCTCCCCGTCACTCAGGTGTCATTGGTCCCTATGTGTCATTGGTCCCTCGGCGGTCCTGCCCTGATTTAACCTGCCCCCCCTCCCCCCACAGCACAGGGTGTTGGTGAGAAGACACAGGTCTCACACATGGTCTCCGGCTGAGTCCTTGGGTACGACGCCCGCTGGGCCGCATGTGCCGCTCGCCGCATAAACGAGGCCATTAAAGTGAAGTTAAGGTCAGCGCGCGTGACCATGGAGTCCCCTCACTGAGCACCGGGAGGCTCCGCCTACTGCCACCCTTCCCACCCAGAGGAATCTCCAGAGACGTGGACTGCGATTCAAAATCGACCCAAACTGTCTCCTGTTTTCTGAGCAGCCATCTGTTTTATTGGTTTCTCACCTGTCTATTGCTTGTTAATTTAAATTTCATGGAATATAAGTGCAGTGATGAATGTAAGTGCATTCTGGGTGTTTTTCTTGTTGCCCTATTAAATACCGCCTATGCACAAAAGAACAAGAAAAGCCAGCTGCTTCTTTCCTGGTCTTGATGACTGTATTATGGAGAATGCATAAAGCATTTTTTCCTATATCACTATCATCTGATCACCGGTTGCATTCTGCCGCCCCCCTCCTGCCATCCTGTTCACTGTTGTGCCATAAAACCCGCAGACCGGGACAGGACAAGACGGGCGGGCGCTTTAAATCAAGGCTCCGGATGCGGGAGGAGAAAAGGGCGGATCCGCCGACAACGACATGCACGGCCCCCACCGCATCAATAACCCCTAATGGGAAAAATGCACAATTAATGATCTCGTGAGCATTTTAATGGGGTCAAATGAACTGTGAAGCCCTTGGGAGGGATCGGGCTTTGCCCTGCGCGCGTTCGATCACGCACGAAAGGAGGGAAGAGCGGCTAATCCTCATCTTCCTTGATATGCTGTTTGAAGTTTAGTTTAGAGGAGACTAAAGTGTTTTCGTGAATTTTCTTTTTTACAGAGTTTAATGTTATGTGATAAAGAAAGTGATAAAGTAACGTTTCGGATACGATGCCTATGCAGTTACGCTAAACTACCCAACAAGAGTTAAAACAACCCAATAACTCAACAGCCTTAACCCAGTGTTTGGGTTGAAAAAAACAATCCAGCATTTTTTGCAGTGTATTTAAACAATATCTGCATATTTTACTGTATATCGTGTAACGTATACAGCACAAGTACAACCTAAGAGATGCGCATAACTCGGTGATTTGCCGTGATGCCGTATCTCCGTTATGTACTCACACTAGCCGATCCGTCGCGTGCCCGAGCGCGCTCCCGCGCCAGGCCGCTTCGGCGAAAGCACTCGTCTGCCACTAGGTGGCGCGTTTTTCCACTAGACGGGAAGGCCTCTGCCTTTCACTGGAACAGAGCCGAGTAGATGATTGCCGTCAGCGGCATGATTTTCCTCCGTAGTTTTGCTGTCTAAGAGGTGTGGCCCAGTATAACCGAGTATGTTGTTTAATAGGCTACTTGATCAATTGAGAAATAAAGAAAAAAGATAAACAGGACGTTAAGGAGAGACATGCAACTATTATTGCACAAGTTCACCAAATGAACAGGGATGCGTTTTGTGTTGTTACTCTACTCCAAAAATGCATTTCAGAGCCGCCTGTTACAGTATTATAAAGTGAGGTGACTCATACGTAAATACAGAAGGCAGCGGTAATAACTAAATGTAGCGACTTATTCGCGTCCATGACGCCGACTGGGCTGTAGTTTCCTTCACACTGTGGAGTTGCTGGGAACAGCTTTATCCAATAAAGTATCACCACAAGGCAAGGGACGCGGTAGATGGGACAGCAGACCTTGGCAGGGCACACAAACGCTCCGCTGTGCATGACTGTCACTTGTGCATATGTGACACTGATCACTTCCAGGGTCACTCCCAATGTTTTACGGGGATCTGGATTTTTGATTAAATTCAGCTAAATGCTGCCCCCTTCTGGTTCTTTTTAGAGTCGCGCATTTACATTAGGCTGTGTTTTAATAGGCCTACAGACACCGAGGTCATATTTTAGTAATCGTATTTACATGTAAATATGTCGTTATTTATCCATATAGCGCGCAGTGTAATTTTCCACAGTGCAAGTTAGATTTAATTAAGTCTAATTCATTCTTTTATCATATGAGTCGTTTCTGCTCAAACGTGGGGCAAAGATTCGAGCATCCCTGCTGAAAAAAGAAAAAAAAAAAACAGATAGAGCATCACACTTTCTGTGCCGGTCTATGCTGGTTAGTGCTGGTGTAGCTGGTAGCCCAGCATAGCTTCAAATGAAACTGGTCCACCACCAGTAAAACACTACACATGCTGCTGTAAGCGGCATGCATTATGCTGGTCAATATAAACCGTTTTTTTTTCCCAGCAAGGATGGACGGTAGGACCATGTCCCTACAGATTTTGTGGGAATATCATGCGTGTTTGAGGGAGGGGGGGGTTCAGGGCTGATTTGGTCTCTACCAGTGTTGAAACCAAACCTCCACCCTTGGCCCTGATGCACTATTTCACAAAACAGTGTTTGTGTTAATAATGTTTAGTAATCGTTACGGAGCCACTTTTGCTTTGGCAATGGCTTCAGAAGCGTCTCATGGGTATATGGGGGTTTTATGAGGCGTAGTGCTTTATTAACTGTCACCCGATGAAGTTTCGTAATCACAATAAACCACAGGGATGCCACGCGCGTAATTAACAGCAGTTTTTTTTTTATTGTTAGTTCACAAAAACCACCAGTTTTTGTATCTTTGGAGAGGAAGAGGTACAAAGTCTTCATCAGGGATTTGATCCCCTTCTGACATTACGACGGATTTGGCATCGTTAAGGTCACATGGTCCTTTAAATGGGCTGAGAAATGTTACTGTGCCGCATTTGCTCCCTGCCCCGTCCAAACTCCAGGGATTTTGGACCCAGATTATTCCCAGGATCCCACTCTAATGATGCAAGAGTAAGCCGCGAATTGCATGTTAACTGTGGGTTCTAACCACAGGACTGGGGAACCGGCTTGCTCCAGTCCCACGTCCGAACCAGGATGCACTTTCCTGTTGCATTTTTTTCCTACAGGTCATTCCATGTTATGCACAGTCCGGGCGGCCAGCCAGGCTTGGCAAACTGGAACTGCCATTCAGCGGCCTGACAGACCTCTTCGGGGGAACCATATCTATATTGCTGGCTGTCAGTGGCCAAGAAAGCACATCACAGATACCGGCACAAGGCAACGAGGCGCCGGGTACCGTGGACTGCAGCTTGTCGGCGTCTCGCCTCCTTTCTGCGACTTGCCTGCACCTTGGAGACGCGCTGATATGCGAATGACAAGCGGGAACGGGAACGTCCGACGGCAGAACCCGCGCAGATCAAACACACTCATGCGAGCAGAAAAATAAGGCTGAAAATCGGCACGCAATGCATACAGGGAGCACAAATTACATTATGCAGCAACGTTCATAGCACGGAATTAATGCAAACACGTACCCCGTTTGCATAATTACACAAAGCTCTCCAAACAGCAGAACTTTCCGCCAATTTAACCGGATCTGACTTTATTGTGCTGTTAAACACGTCCGTTCGCAGCAAGGCACAAACTCTGAAGCACATTTTTATCTCAGGCCCTAGGTGAACTGGCAGAGTCCGCAAAGGACAGTGGTGATTAAATTATTGCAGGATTCAATATCTGCATCAGTAATAATAATTTAAAAATAATTTTGTTTAGCTAACCTACTTTTATCTGAATACTGAAGACTTTAAGCGTAATTTTAACATCAAACCCGCATTTTTCAGTGTATTGGCGTTTTTTAAACTACCTGCTCTTATTAGAGGCAGATAAAATGTAAATATACACACGGTAACCAAGTAGCATCCAGGGCAACTTCTGAACATAGGAAATAAGTGAAAACGTGGTCTTTACAGGAGAGGAAGGGGAAACTACTAAAGGCAAAATTGTAACCCCCCCATCATACATACATACATACATACATGCATACACACTCCTCAGCCAGGTCTATAAAACACTCAACTTTAAAAATCAGGGCATAGTCAATGAAAATTGCAATTCGATTAATACTGACATAGAAATTCACAATTAATCTGATGTATTTGCTGATCTGAGAATTTTTTTTTCTTTTAAATGGAGTTAAAAAAAATAAATAAAAGTAGCTAAAACCTTATTTCAATGCTTAGTTTAACTTACACATCAGGTTGACATTTTAAATGCTTTTATTAAAAAAGAACTTAAAGAAGCTTTAGTAGAATCCTTTATGTACAAAAGCGATTAGGGACGACTTTTCACTGAGGTCAGCTCCTGTCAATGGTCATTTCCTTCATGGTGTAAATCGTGTTATTTGTACTCTTACACTAAGGACACTCCATATTTGGGAATGGTAAATAACATAGCACCATCTTCTGAAAGGAACAATGTAAAATAAACCGCCGTATCACATACACAGGAAACAAGCGGCTTGCGCTCTCTCACACGTTAGTCGAGCAAATGCATATTATGCCGTTCCAATAAAACTAGATTTCTAGTTTATACATGCTGTGGTTAAAATACTTTTTTTTTTTTGGTAGTTTAGAGAAAATAGAAAAAAAAAACAAACAAAACAAAGGCTGGTTAATTCATCGTAACATTTTAGGCACTTAATTAAGGCTAAAGAAAGCTTATAATGGAACCTTTGTCAACAAAGCAAAACAACAGTCCTATGTACATGTTTGTAAAAAGTGTTATAAATAGGTTTTAAACCATAGATACTATATACATCTTCAAATTATAGCAGTATGTAATGTTTTACGTTGGTTTTTTTTTTCGTCTTGTGCTTCCCACCCCCACGCCTGTGGATAGTGGGGAATCCGTCTATGGGAGCAGTAGGGGGTGGGGTTAGGGGTGAGCGCCCCCCCCCCGCCTCATTCCCGCTTCCTCAGCACCACGTAGATCAGGCCGCTGAGCAGGGCCAGTGGAAACGCCACCCAAGCCAGAATGTACGCGAATCCAAATGAGTCGTTCTTGTGGACCCAATCCGAGCTCCTCACAGTGTAGATGGTGGCCCCGCTCATGACGAACAGGCCTGGGGGGGGGGATAAGGCAGGTCAGCAGCCGGATCTGGATCTCCAAGCTCAATTCCTGTGCGTGTTAAATCTCAGGCTGCACGTTTTTCTGTCCACCTTGGATTGATTCCACATTTTATGGAAGCCAAATGGAACTGTAAGCGGTATGTTTTTGTAAGAACTTTTCTCAATTAAACATAAAACAAACTGACTGGCTAGATAAGTCTTCACCCCCTTTGATTTGATACCCCTTTCTGCAGTCACATCAGCCTCCCCCCCCCCCAAGTCATTTCTGTCACGGAGTGCATCATGGAGATCCTGAAAGATGTGGGGGGGGGTTGCGCGGATGTTTCTGATGCTGTGCTCAGCGCCATCATTGTGGTCACCAGTTGTGTGACTCAGCACGATAGGACGCTGTGATCTGTAGGTCGGTGGTTTAAAACCCAGAATCAGCAGAGTGATGTCACCATTGGGCCCCTGAGTGAGGCCCTTGATCCCTAAGTACTCCAGGGAGCGGCTGGCTCTGCTTTCATTTGTACGTCACTTCGGACTAAAGTGTTTGCTAAATAAATAAAATGCGAAATGTTCAGCTGACACATTATTGTGGGGACGGCGCATCGACCAGCATCTAACACTGCGCTGTTCCTCCGACCCCAAAAAACTCCAGTGGATTCTAAAGCTGGTTCATGACATCTTGGTGCTTTGTTTTTAAAAATCCAACATGAAAAGTAACTCAGTTTCAGAACAATCATCCTCTGTTCTAGGGAGATCCGATCCAGCGGGATTATGCATGCACCTCGTCCTTTACATGTGGGGGAGCTCCTCTGCTCCTTCCATATCTGCATGTCCAAAGCCGCTACTGAATGGGGGGGGGGCTTGGGGGGGCGGCGTCGGCGATACTCACTGGCCAGGATCTGGAAGATTCCGGTGAGGAAGAAGCGCCCACCCTTCTGGAGGGTGAACAGCTGGCAGAAGAAGAGGAAGATGGACAGGAAGCTGAAGATGATGGCGAGGATCATGAGAGCTTGAACGGCTTGAATCCATTCTGCAAGAGATAAGGCGGGGCAGGGGGCGTGTCAGCGGCTGTGGGCGGGGCAGGGGGGCATGTCCGTGGCTGTGGGCGGGACAGAGGGGCGTGTCAGTGGTTGTGGGTGGGACAGGGGGCGTGTCAGTGGCTGTGGGCGGGGCAGGGGCGTGTCAGCGGCTGTGGGCGGGGCAGGGGCGTGTCAGCGGCTGTGGGCGGGGCTCAGTAGATATCATGCTTTATGGGTTTGCGTGCGTACCTCGTAAGCCTTGGTGACTCATTTTGGATCCATATACACAAAATCCACCTGAGAGGCAGATTTCAACAAGCAACACGTTCTGAAGGTTCCATACACGCCACTAATCACGGCTGTCAGTTCCAGTACGTCCAAGGATGTTCCTGCCCTGTGTCCCTTTGCCCAGTGAGAGCTACACCGTAACAGTCCCAGGAAAATGCCATACTGGGATGAGACTATGCTCCCAGTTTGCCTGCAAGCTGGAGGAGATTCTGAGCATGAAGGGGACACAGGAAGGAATGTTTAAAAAACGGGGCACGCCTATCTCATACACCGTGCTTCCCTCTCAGTTAACAGGAACGCCAGCGAGGTCAGCGAACGCCGTATCGCCACGTTTCCATGGACACGCCCCGTACACACTAGCGGCCTGTGTGCCGTGTGGCAGCTGGAGGTGTCATCGCTCCTCACAGACCCTGCCTCTTTCTCCAGTACCAGCCCGGAGCCCTGAAATCGCTCCTCACAGACTCTGCCTCTTCCTCCAGTACCAGCCTGGAGCCCTGAAATCGCTCCTCACAGACTCTGCCTCTTCCTCCAGTACCAGCCTGGAGCCCTGAAATCGCTCCTCACAGACTCTGCCTCTTCCTCCAGTACCAGCCTGGAGCCCTGAAATGGCACCGACATGCAGTCGCTTCCTGAAAAGCCTGTTCTGGGGATTCCTGTCATCACAGGAGCTCCACCACTCTCGCTCTCCCAGCTCTCCCTGTCCCGTTACATCGGTCTGCGGTGCTTTTTGGTTTCTACATTTCGGACCATTTTGTTCATGGCTGACAAACTCCCGACTGATGCCCAGTCACTAAGGAACTTACTCACTAGCCAGATGCATGTGGTCAAAACATGCGCTAGATGTCAAGTGAGATGACGAGTGACAGAATCTCGAAAAGCCGCCAGCTCATGTGACACGCTCCTGTCAATGAGGAACCCCCATCCGCAGGGTGACTCACCACGGCCATTCGCCACACTGCCACAGACAGCCCCTGAACGTGAGCTCACATTCTCTCTCTCAGTGTACGATTCATCTGTAGGTCTGGTCCTGCCTCACTGACCCTAAAAGCACTCGCTCACCGACGCCTCAGTCACGGCAAACATCGACGTCCACTGGCCCCGTATCAAAACTGCCACTTGGGACAATTAATGACAGATGTCCAGCTCTGTAGGGTGCAGTGAGGTCAGGGCCTGGCAATAAATGTGCATTTAATTGACTATAAAAAATACTGTGTTAATGAACAACACTTTTGTGTTGAAACCTTAACATACCGCCTGTGTTAAATGGATTAATATACTGGTTTTAGTAAAACAGACAAAAGTGTTGTGTTGTCCTTAACAAGTTGCTTGGTGTTATTTAGCACATCTGTTTTTAGAATGGGTAGAGAGAAGCCGCCGTATAAGATGTGTGAACCACAAGGATGAAGGGCCTTCGTGAAGATGAGGGTGGACCCAAAAGGAGTCTAATTTGTGCCCTTAAGAGGGTGAGAAGGTCCCACCCAGCATGAGATGAAATGACAGCCACATCCGCAATAAACTAAGTAAGAACCTAATCCAATTCCACAAATAACTCTGTTTAGACCTGTTAAAATCCATCAAATCGGATTTACCCATGAACAAACAACCGAGACGAGGCAGGTTTAGTGAAAAATCACGCAACGTACGAAAGCTTCGAGCAAACCACCACCAAGGAGCAAAAAAACACATGGAGATACGCCTACGTCTGTCAGCCCAGAGCAGACGCAGCGGCGATGGGCCCCCAGAACACGACACAGACCCTGCACCCGACCCGACCGGACTGCTGCAATCTACCCCCCCCCCCCAACACCTCGAGAATGGCACCGGTCCAGAACTTCCAGAAACCAAAAAGATCACAAAAATAAGGATCCACCCGAACAGGAAGCGAAGAGGCTGTCTGCTCGCTGGCCGCTTTCCTCGTGTGATGTTCTGAGAGCGAGAGGAAGCACTCGGGCTCAGGGAAAGGCGTCCCCCAGAATGCCACCCGTCGGTATCAGAGGAGATCAGCTGCCTTTGCCCCCCCCCAAATGCAGGAAGGCTCCCCATGACATTTACATACTTTAACCATCTGTGAATATTATGTTCATTCATGCCAGCCAAACTGGCAGTGACAGAAGCCTCCTCCGCCACCCTGGGCGTGTCATGATGGCTGCGGCGCCAGTTTGGGCAGCAGGAGGTGCTGGCGCGCCCGTCATTTGCCAATCACAGCCTCTGGGGACGTAAGATGAGGTCAGCGCCAATGGGTCCAGCCAGACAGGTCCATGTGAGCGACTTCTGGGCCCGCAGTTCCCAAGACAGGCTGCCTCAGGGACGCCTGGGTCAATCCAGGCCGTTAGACACGACGGCAGAGAGACACGACATCGCATACTGACCAGGACAGCTATGGACAAACTATACAGACTACATCTCCCATGCTGCCTATCTACATTAATGCTCTCAAGAAGCTGAATGGCAACTAGAGTGTCTGTGGCTCTTGGCTAAACTATAATAAAAAAGATTAAATATTCACTCAATCCAAATGTCCTTGTGAAATGTAACAGTAACTTCTACTGAAATTCAGACAGCTTACCCCTGCATCATAACAAATGCAGTACACAATGTGCTTTAAATAATCTCAACTCCTGCAGAAACACTCTGCAATCCCAGCACAGCAAACTGATTACAAACATTGAAGCCGTTCTTCACGCTGAGCCTGCTTATTGGAGAAAATCTCTCTGTCCTTGTCGCACCATCAGTGCCTTGCCTCTAGGCGGCAGCAGAGAGCCAGCAGCGTATACTGCAATGCCCGCTGCGAAGCGAACCCCCCGGAGGGGGGGCCAAAATCTTCCAAAGCTGTACGGGACCCTCGGACTTAACGCGCTCGTAGGCCAAGCCCCTGATGATCGCTACGCGGCCGGGAAAGACCAAATGTATGACGCATTAGAGAGGGAACCCAACGGCAGCGATCCAGCACGCGGAACACTTTTTGGGTCGGGCTGTGTGTGTTTTTTTTGTGGATGGGTGGGGAGGGGATGGGTGGAGGATTTGATTTGGCTCCGCTAGGCGGAGAAAGGAACCGATAGACGGCAATGACAAACGAGGCAGGGGCAGTATTTTTTTTTTTTTTTGGGGGGGGGGGGGATTACTCACCTCCTGCAGTGGCGGAGATGCAGTGAGTGCCGCCATTAGGCGTGGAGCAGTTCAACCACAGGTCCGAGCTGCCGGTGGGGTTCACGACCCAGGCCTTGGGGGCAAATGACACATATTTACATGCAACGGCAACATACTGTACGCTCCTAGCTTGCAGCGTATCTGAATGATCAGACCTCATAACAATGATTAACACTTTAGTAGCCAACACTCTAGAGGGAGGGGTCGAAGTAAACCCCACATTACTTTATATTGGCTTTTTTGCACTTCTAACGGTAAATCACCAAACATCAAATCTACCATCCGTCTTTCAGGTACTGTGCGGAATTTTTTAGTTAAAGGGCGTCCGACTGAATGCGCTGATATTTCCGTGTCATATTCGCTATAAACAAGATGACAGATAAAACTCACGCTGACGATGGTGGATATAAAGAGCAGCACCAGTGCGGCGAGGTGCAGGAGGATGATTCCCAGCAGTAGGAGCAGCATCTTTCAAGCCGATCTGGATGCAGTAGAAAAACAAGCAGGTTGAGAGCGGAGTTGGAGTCCAAAGGGTGTGTCGCCCCTCCCCCATGAACCAGTGTATTTCGACATGGGCACTTCGCAAACTTTGCCTACACACTGGAATGCTTATTTTATTTAAAAACGACAATAGGCGCAGTCTACCGAGTCCATTTACAGTTGTTTTGCTCATGTAAAACCCCATGTAGATATGGCATGTCAATTATTCTCCTGGGACCCCCGGAATCTAATGCTAGTATAAGTGAATTTCCAGTTATACATCTAAATAGAAAAACACGCAGGCGCCTGTGCATATTTTAATATATTTGTTCGAAAACAAAATTCCTCTTTCCGAGCTATTAAAATATATTACCGAAATTAGCTCTTTAAAATTATTGCGCTGATAACGTAAAAAACCAGACGAAGGCAACAAAAAAGAATTAAAAAGTCCGCTTTTTAACAAGCTGGTACTGTTACTCCTTTACAAAGCCAGCATTGAGCCGCTCCGGAGCCCCGGAGTTCCGCTCGCCGCGGCCCAGATTTACTTCCACCGGTCCCGCCGTCTGCTAAAATTAACCAGAACTGCCGCGCAAAACAGAGACGCCGTTTCTGCAAAAGTCTGGTCCGCCTTCGTGCGCCGTACGGCTGGTCACAACCGCGTGGAAGAAACCGCGACGAGCAGATTCAGAAACTTATAGTCATTGATCGTACACCGTTATTACACGTTATTTTAACGCCCATTTCTCCCTGTGATTACATCTGCTACAACATCTCAGCTCGGGCTGGTTTATTTAATCAAACGCCTTATTATAAATAACTAAATCATCGCTGCAAAGTTTGCGCAAAGGCATCACAATAACTTAGTTTAAGTTATAACAATCCCGCTCCCATAACAAGCGTTTACTAAAAACATGGAATATACCATTCATATAAAAAAAAAAACGATTAGAGATTAATTTCTCCAACTTACTGAAGATTTCTGAAAACACGCTCCAAAAATCAGTGATAACTCAGCGGAATAGTGCAAAAAGTGAGCCAGCGATGATGGTGAACAGTCCAACGGCAGTGCCTGCGCTCCGAGCCGCTCCTCACTAGACGGGCGGCGCACAGCGCAGGGCAGTTATAAAGCGGCCCGTTATGGCGACCAACGCCCAGCGGGAGGCGCTGCGCCGGGGGTCGCCCTGCCCCGGCAGCCTGACACCCGGAGTGTCACCACGGCGTGGTCTGCAGACCGTCCTCATGGAAACAGACCCGTCAACGCCCCCCACCAGCACTTATGCATCACAGGAAAATAAATAAACCCTCGATTTAGGCTTGAAATGCCTGTAATTTGTCGTCAGGCTGTTGCGAAACGTCTTTCCTGTTCCTGCGGTATTGTTTTTTTTTTTTTGTTTTTTTTGAGTCTCGTGTTTGGTTACTGGATTGATCATATCAGATAAATATAGAACTGTGTAGAAATCATGTGCTCACTTTATTTGGAGACAATGTATAAAGGTAATCTACACTTTAATCATTTTATCTAGTGCCGGCGTCCCGCGGTGCTTCGAGCTGTTAGCAGTGTCCTTTACAGCTCGGCCCAGGTAACTGCATGGACCCCGTGTCTTCGTGCTGTCCCGGGGGAGGCGTAAATAAGCATGCGGGCGTGGTTTAGGGGAGGGGAGTGGGGGTGTAGCTGTTCGGAGCTGGAGGGCTGCCTGCATACCATGATAACCCACCCCAATGGTCCGACACTGGCAGCGGACAAGAGCTAGGACCTGTGAGGTATGGCTATCAAATCACACATCTAGTTTTTATAACCTAAACGCAACCTGCAGAACGCCGTCTGAAATCCTTATTTTAAACTAACAAAACGAGCTAAACATCCTGCCGCTTCCTCATTTTATTTCAACCCGATTTTTTATTTCTCCTTTTTCTTGGCTGATTGCACTGCGCTGTTTATTCCTGCCTCAGACGTCTCCCTGACAGTAACAGCTGCGCCCTGGTATTTACACACAGATGCCCTCTACCTTCATCCTGTCTGCGTTACGTGCTTAAATTCACACCCCTGGGCGTCGTTAGGTCCGATCCCTGGTGGCTATAACCCAAGCCCAGCCCCGAGTATGTTGCCCCCGATGCCAATCTTCCTTCGAAAACAAAAAAAGTCAGGCCCCGAGTTAAACTTTTTGGTGGTAAATTGCATTTGCTTAATTGATCGTTTCTGTGTACGATCTACGATCCCAGTGGAAGTTCCCCTCCGTGCCCTGGTTGGTCTGCACCCGCATTTCATCTTCTAATATGTATTCTTTGGTGAAGTGCTGGGAGGTGAATCAGCAAACTAGTGATCCCAGTGACAGTAGGCAAAGGGGCTGCTGTGGACGCGTATTGGCCTTCCTATATATGACCGTTTTGCCTTCTGTCCTGTATTATTGACTTAAGTAGCGATTAGCCCTTTGCAGGGGGCTCTTAATGTCATTCTCCAGCGACCGCTTTGAGATTTCTCATGGAGGTTAGAAAGCAAGGCAGCTTGCTTAGTTACTGGGAAAAAACGACTAACAAGCAGTGTTGTGCAAATTACTGAAAATTAGTAATTACAGTTACTAGTTACTTCATTCAAAAATAATGCTATTGTTTTAACAGTTACTGCATATTAAAGTAAATAGTTAGTAGGAAAAGTAACTTTTGTGTTACTTTAATTCTCGTATTAATGCATACCCAAAGAGCAGACCGGGACGTCGGTAAAAGATCGGAATGTCCTGAAATGCTCGCGTTCCATTTAGGCCTATTAACAACATTTAAATGATTACATACGCTATATGGTTTTAAACAGCAGGCCTACATGCGGGATATATGTATGTGTGCCTTCTGGGTCGTTATATTATTTTAGAGTTGCTGCTGTAACAGTGCGAGAAAATACAACTGTCTAATTGTATCTGTCATTGTACCCAATATCACCCATTCGTTGCAGGTCAGATGACATTAGATCACAATCAAGAAATTAGGGGAATGGGCTGCAAATTTCAGTACTTTTAATGGCGGTATTTCATTTGAAAAGGTAATTAGTTGCATTGCTCTGGCCAAAACTAGTGGAATTATAGTAACGTGTTACAACCAACACTGCTAACGGTTCAGTTTATCAGCAGTGGATTATACTGCTGAAGAAATGAGTATAGGTGTTCAGTAACAAACCATTTCACACAACAAATCTGCTTTAGGTACCTTATTAAAATATTAATTTAGCTAAACTGAACCCTCAATCCACTGAGACTAGGTAAGTAGTTATGGAAGATGGATGACGGAGTAAAAGGAAGCAGGGTTAGTATATTGGTCATTAAAGATTCACTTAGAGGTTGATGGTTCAGATCCCACTATGGATCTGCTGTGGTACCCTTGGTAGGTGCTTCACCTGAACTGTTCCAGCAAAAGTAGCCATGTAAGAAGGTCAGATTAAATGCTGCTTTGATATCAGAGAATATGGGAGAAGTTTTAAAGACATAGAAGGGTTAAGGTTAGATATTATACACTGTTTTCCAGTTTAGGGTTGCATTCCTATCCCCTGAGGACACCCTGTACAGGACTGACCAAAGAAGAGAGGAACCATGAAGAATATTAATATATTTATATTTGTCACTTAGGGTAACTCCAACTGCTCCAGGGACCGTCTGACCCAGTTTTATCAATGTACCTCTCTTTGCATAAAAGCATCTGATAAATAAATAAATGTAAATAAATATATGTATATTTTATGAGGTGTGGAAAGTGGCTGTTAAGGAGGGTAAACAGGATGCTGTAGAGGTTCCAGAGGTAGTTTGGAGAGCAGTGATGTCCTCAGATGAGTTGGGAAGGTCATGTACTGTGAATATTAGTATATTGACTTGTGGATGGGGCTGTTATGTTAAAAGCAAACCCCCCCCCCATTTGTGCCTCTGGTTCAACATTAAATGATGTACCTGCCTGGAAATGACAAAGAGCATCAGTTAAGAGCCACGTGGTTATGGGCTTTCATCCCTAGATGACTGCCACGGTGAGGGACTTCACAGTTGCTGCTGTGCATCCTCGCTGCATACCCTACTCTGTCTGCACCCGTTGTCCCCTCCACGCCCCGTTTTGTCTGCACCCGCTGTACCCTCCACGCCCCGTTTTGTCTGCATCCACTGTCTCCTCCACGCCCCGTTTTGTCTGCATCCACTGTCCCCTCCACGCCCCGTTTTGTCTGCATCCACTGTCCCCTCCATGCCCTGGTTTGTCTGCACCCGCTGTCTCCTCCACGCCCCGTTTTGTCTGCACCCGCTGTCCCCTCGACGCCATGGTTTGTCTGCACCCGCTGTCTCCTCCACACCCTGTTTTGTCTGCACCCGCTGTCCCCTCCATGCCCCGGTTTGTCTGCACCCACTGTCCCATCCATGCCCCGGTTTGTCTGCACCCGCTGTCTCCTCCACGCCCCGTTTTGTCTGCACCTGCTGTCCCCTCCACGCCCTGGTTTGTCTGCACCCATTGTCCCCTCCATGCCCTGGTTTGTCTGCACCTGCTGTCCCCTCCACACCCCGTTTTGTCTGCACCCGCTGTCCCCTCCACGCCCTGGTTTGTCTGCACCCGCTGTCCCCTCCACGCCCTGGTTTTTCTGCACCTGTTGCCCTGTCCATGGCCCGGTCTGTCTGCGCCCATTGTCCTTTCCGCGTCTGGGTCTGTTTGTGCCATGACAGGCAAAGCGGCCCAACAACAGGACCTGATAGGATTGGCTGGGGGTATGACAGTGGGGGCAAATCACAGGCTACGGGGCCCCTTATATGCTGATGTTTGTGAATGCCCTGGGGGGTGGGGGAGGAGTATGGCTGGTGATGTAACTGTGTTAAATTTACTCCATCAGAATGCCACCTGACCCCCTCGGCTCACCAAACCCCACCCCTCATCTAAAGCTACAGCTCTCCCCAGCTATACATCCCTGTTGGGGGAGGAGGTCACCGAATTTGGTGTGGGACTGAGGAACAGGCAGTCCCTCCCCCTCAACACACTGACCTTCCTCCCCTAATCAGCTATGAAGACCCCCCCCACTACACTGACATTGTGCCATTTATATCCACACCCACCCTAAATTTCACAGCGACACACTGATCTTATGTGAGTAGAGTCTATGGCAACAAAGGAGCTCTTTTCAGGAAGTTACACGCTCCAGTCTGATATAAATCAGTGCCTATGATATTTCAGTGGAAGTTATTTTGCTTTTTGACAATCCCTGAACAGCCAGTCCTCATCAAAGGGGGAGAGGGGAGGCTGAGGTCATTACTGGCCGTGCCTCCGTAACTGGGTGTGGCTGTTCATTTACGTCATATTAATACATGAAGCCAGTGGTCACCTTCGGGGTCCATGTGGAATCATTCAGCTGTTATCGCATTACTGTACTAATCACAGTCATTTACAGATTCAAGGTCAAGTCCTACAGTGGGGCAGTTTCCATCTCGAGGACTAACTTGCCCTCCACCAGATGGGGGCACTCTAACCATAATCTGGGTAACAAGTCACTGACAAGATGAGGGTGGAGTAAAAATCCGGTCCACTCCGTCATTTATATCTCAGAGTTACTATGGGTGGGGCATCCATGTGCTCTCTGATACAATCAGGCATGTTTACGCCCATGAAACAGACCCCAGCCCAGATGATTTCAGGTACATGTATCCGGGTCACGTCCCTGTCCAGCACTGAGGGCCCACAGGCTATGCTGTGGTGGCTCTCTAACGTGCGGCACGCGGTGCCGTGGTTGCAGGTGGGCTACGCAGTGGCGGCTCTCTAACGTGAGGCAAGCGGTGCCGTGGTTGCAGGTGGGCTACGCCGTGGCGGCTCTCTAACGTGCGGCACGCGATGCCGTGGTTGCAGGTGGGCTACGCCGTGGCGGCTCTCTAACGTGCGGCACGCGGTGCAGTGGTTGCAGGTGGGCTACGCCGTGGCGGCTCTCTAACGTGCGGCATGCGATGCCGTGGTTGCAGGTGGGCTACGCCGTGGCGGCTCTCTAACGTGCGTCACGCGGTGCAGTGGTTGCAGGTGGGCTACGCCGTGGCGGCTCNATTAGAGATTAATTTCTCCAACTTACTGAAGATTTCTGAAAACACGCTCCAAAAATCAGTGATAACTCAGCGGAATAGTGCAAAAAGTGAGCCAGCGATGATGGTGAACAGTCCAACGGCAGTGCCTGCGCTCCGAGCCGCTCCTCACTAGACGGGCGGCGCACAGCGCAGGGCAGTTATAAAGCGGCCCGTTATGGCGACC